TCCGCATCGATGATGCAATGCACATAGGACAGCTAGCCCACAGTTTAGTATCCACTTTAGTCCAATTTCCTTCCAGTGCCATTCAAAAGCCATAATGCCTCCATCTGGCCTTGCAATCCTCATTGGAGCCGGTCCCAATACGGTATATCCTTAGCAACCTGAACACACACGGGATGCTAACAAGACCTCATAGGGCACGGGAATAGCGCGAATCCTCTCCCACCCTTCCCATGGCAACCTCGCTGTCGCTCTCCTCGCTCGTCGTTCCGAAGCCCTCGATGACGTCGTCTCCACGGTCCGCAAGACGGATCCTAATGCCGTCCTCGAATCATTCCCGACCAACACCTCAAAAACATCCCTTGAGAAGGTGTTCGGAGATATCAAGGCGCACCAAAGCTTCACGGATCTGAAGCTGCAGATAGCCATTTACAGCATCAAGCATTCTTCGAAGAAGCCGTTCCTGGAGGAAACTTACGAAGACTTCACGGAATCGCTCGAGACATATGTTGGTGGGGCGTTCACGTTCGCTCAGGAATCGGTGAAGCGCTTCTTTGCCGACCATGGCGAAACGCTGCTGGCTGAAGGTGCCCCAAAGAAAGGCGTAAGCTTGCCGGTATTCCATAACATCGTGACGCCATTGATTGACAGCCATAGACCCTCATCTTCACCGGAACCCTAGGCGCGCTCCGTTGCAGCGCTCAATTTGCAGCATACGGAGCTGGACGTGCTTCCGTTCGCCAATTGGCACAGACACTCGCACGCGAGATGAGTGAAAGGGGCATCCATGTCGTGCATACCATCGCAAATGGTGGAATAGAAGATGCCGACGGTGAGGCTCAGAAGACGGGCAAGAAGATGAGTGCGGACGCTGTTGGCGAGACATATCTTTTTTTGCACAACCAGAAGCCTTGCTTATGGACACACGAGTTAGACATGCGACCGGCATGCGAGAAATTCTAGCTACAATGGCACGTCATCTATACACATCATTACTCGGCTTCTGATACTGTCTGCATCGCAACACACTATCGTCCGTGCCCCACGGAAACGTGTCTTCGCCGATCCTTGCCGAGCTCAACAATGAGAATAGAGGCCAAGCCTCTCACATGGATTCGTCCGGCGGGCTTGAAGAATGAAACAAGAGATAAAACGTTCTTTCTACAATCAACTTAGTTCGTACATACCCCGCGTATTTGGTCCGTCCATTGTTGAGCTTCAGTGACATCAACTCAGGATCAACCCCGCTCAACTGCCTAGGCGTCGTCTTGAGAGTCTTGAGTCATTCAGATTCCGTGCTGCAGGGCATCCGTCCCGCTATATTCAAGCTGAGGAAAGATATCACGAGTTTTGCTTGCTCTCCCTCCGTCCTATGTGCCTAGATCGCGTATCTGCACCTCAGACATCGCCTCGATCTGAAGATGCATTGCTCACGTGTTTCGCGACTTAGTCGCGTTCTGTGGAGCTTTGACCTATTGATGTCATACCACCACAACACGAAACCCGTTTTACCCCCTTTTTTCTGTCCCAATTACTCGTCTAGTAGCTGTCCAAAACTTTTCCAACAAAATGCCGCCATCTAAGCGCTGGAAGACAAGTCCTGACTCCAGCGCCGCCGCGCAAGATGGAAGCTCCCTCACCCACTAAACACGAAAACGACGAGGAAGTCGGTGACGTATGCAACTGACCCTTCATTCTAGCGCCTGACCCCTGATTGACTCCATGTAGGAAGCGGAGAAGCCAGACCTCAGCCGCCACGAATCCATGTGCGCGCACCGGCCATTCTTCAACTATGAGTCCGAGAACAGGCTCGCGGCTAAGACGGTCTCGATGAGGATGCCCTCGAGAAAATGCACAAGCTGGCCTACGAGACCGAAGAGGCACGGGACATTTTCCGCAAGCCTGCAGCAGAAGAGAAGGATCGGAAGTGCGTCGTCCTGACGGTTGCGTGGGACAAATTCAACTTTGGATGAAGAAGAGTAGCTATTGCGACCCGGATAGGTTTGGAATGTACATACACAATGACCGGAAGGGCCATGGGCGGCGGGAGCTGATTGAGAACTTGGTAAGCTGGGTCGTGCATGGCGGCGAGGAATTAATCATGCGAAGCTCATCGAATTCGACAAGGAATTCACGGAGAGTGGGCAGGCTGGTCTGGACGAGATGTGGGTAGCTATTTGCGCCTTGGGAATCTGGTTGAATGCAGATGAGATGATGCAGTTCATCGATTAGCGTCTATGTTCACTCGAAACCGGCCTCTTGACTGATCACTTGCAGGCAACGGAGATGGAGAGACGGTCAGTAAGCTCATTGGCCTTACGAGCTATGCTCTTCTTATGCCTCTCGAAGGCGTCAAACTCGATGGCGAGCGCAAACCAAATATCCAGGTCAGAGATCTCGCTCTGGTCATTGGATATTTCCTCGAGGGTCGAAGAATCTCTTGCAATGCGGTGTCAAACGCAACTCGCTTTCCTGGCACCCGAAAGCTGGGACCTGCTTTGAAGATGTCGGTTTGAACCCCCAGAAAAGCACCTCGCAGATGCCCAAGCTGCTCGAAGAGTTGGACGGTGCAACTCAGGACACCGACAAAGGTGCGCTGAAGGGCACTCAGAAGGATTACTAGGCATGAGAACCCTGTATTGCCAATTACAAAAGCGCAGGGGGAAGATTGGAGGGCAGGTAAATGACATTACGAAGCGTTCAAGGGCGGAGAGGGCGGGTTGGGTTTTCAAGAAAAAGGACCCGCTGGGGGATATCCCGGAGAGTGCCTTGAAGAAGAATATGCTGAATATCTCCTGAAGAAAAGGTGGGCCGTTCTTTTTGTCTAAATATTTCGATTGTTTGTTTTGTTTCAATTCTTTGACTTTGCAAAAGTCCTCCCGTTTCAATCTGACTATTGATTACAGCCTCATAAATTTTTGTCTTTCACGACAATTCCCCGCACACTTTGAACACGCTAGACTAACAAGGAAGTGTTACCAGACCTTTGTCCCAGCAAATGCTTAACCTTCCAGATGACTATCTGCTCAACTCCGCCGACCTTACTGCACCCTCCCCCTCGCATCCACCGGCCAAATCTCCTCAATAACTCCATTCCTATATCCGTAATACACCTCGTACAGATTGATCGTCGGGTCAATATGGCTAGGCACCATCTCCACCCGATCGCCAACCTGCAAATCCTTCCCCTCCGTCCAGGTCAAGCTCCCATGCTCATCTCCAAGAACACCATACGTGTACCCCAACGTCTTGCACTCCGCCAGCCCGCTATCCGTTGTCAGACTCTTCAGCCCTGCGTCGATGGTGATAGCTTTAGGGCCTTGCTTGCTGATGACGGTGGCCAGGATGGTGAGGCTGTTGGCATAGTTCGTACCGACGGCGTTGCGGTAATCGGTGTCCATGAAGAGGAAAGAGCCTGGCTGTACTTCTGTGATGCCAGGAACGGAGGCGCAGAACTCGGCTGTGCCTGTACCGCCAGTAGTCACAACGTCAACTTTGTGCCCGTCTTTCCTAAGGTCTTCCACAGTTGTTGTGAGAATGGCCATGGACTCAAGACACTGCTCCTTCCGCGACTCGTAGCCATGCACGTGCTGTAGGTGCCCTTCGTAGCCTTGAACGCCAATCAGATGCAGCCACTTGCACTCGTCTCGGATTAAGCGCGCGAGGTTAAGTGCGGGTTCGCCGGGTTGCACACCAGTTCTGTGCAGGCCGACGTCGAGGTCGATCAAGGTGGTGATCGCTTCGCCTATACCGCTCTTCTCGATAGCGTCGTTGATGGCTTTTGCGCCTTGCTCACTATCCACTACAATCCTGATACTCCTGTACTTGTCAAACAGCTCGACCAAACGCGCGACTTTTACGGGCCCAATGATCTCGCATGTAATCAGGATATCGGGGAATCCCTTCTCGCACATAACCTCCGCTTCCGAAAGCTTAGCGACACAACCACCTTTCGCACCTGCATCGACAAGCTTTTGAGCGAGGATGGCGGACTTAGTAGTCTTGGAGTGAGGCCGAACATTGACGCCTGTTGGTAGGAGTTGCTTGAAGAGTTTGGCGATGTTTGCTTCCATCAGATCCAGGTCGACGATCATGGACGGCGTGTCCAGACTCGAGAGCGAATCGCCAACTTTGGGAGCGTACGGCATGGTTGTGAAGAGTCTTACGCTTGGACGCGAGCTTAGGCGTAAGGCTGGGTGTTTGAAGTGGAATGTGAGGGGCGGCGAGTTGGGGCGGCAATGGAGCTTTGTGGATGGGTTTAGAAACTGTTTGAAGATTCTTGAGCGGATTTGCAGAGTCATAGGGTATGGTCAGCGTAGACTGTCATCTTAATGACCTGAGCATCGAGAGGCACAGCTTGAATGCAACGGTTGCGTGCGGGTATGTCCTAGTGCGGTAAGCCGACGGGTCGCCGTATTCTGAGTCCTTCGGTGAGGGTGAGATCTCCGAGATCCGAAGCATCTCCGGGCTCAACTGATGAACACGACAACTTTTAAAATTCATCTCCCTTTCCTCATTTTCCATCAAACTCTAAACAACGCTGAAGATCCTGCATTTTCCATTGCCTTTGTTTTTGCATCTTCGTCTTGATCGGGCTGAGTGTTGCCCTCATGCCGAGCCAGCCGCGCTCTCGTCGACTACCAGTCTCGAATACCGCCCACTGGTTGCGCCTGCCATATGTCTCTGTACCTGACTGCTATTGATTAGTTGATCACTAGATTTGGCATTCTCATTTGGTTGATAGTCTTAGGATCCTCTTGCCTCTGTCCATATTGTAGGGCTCGTTCCAATGCAGGCGCGGAACTACGTGTGCTTCGGCCAATATGATACATCGCACAATGATGCACACGTTCAATTTTGGATTGAAGAAACAAACACATCTTACGCACAGGGACCTGGCTTCGCGCGGGTTAGTATTTGCCCAATATGCTATTAGAATGTGGATATATTGTTCTTATGCCGGAAAAATCTCTCAGTTCTACAATAGAATCAGAAGAGAAAAAGCCCGCTTGGCTCAGTGGTAGAGCGTGTCACTCGTAATGACAAGGTCATCAGTTCGATTCTGATAGTGGGCATGTGATTTTGTTTTTTTGATTTTGTCCCCGTATTGGAGAAGGAGTCTTCGTCGTTAGGACTGCATGTGCGGTAGGCGGGCCCTAACGATCCGCTCTTCTTTTACTACCAAGTTGAATCCTAAGAGAGATGGGACAAAAGGCACTTGCGGAGGGTTCCTGCTCGATATGTGTGGTACGACGAACGTCTTTAGGTTTCTGGTAGGAACGATCGGTGAACCGGTCAATCTTCATGAGAGTGCGCGTCTGCCAACGCTAATGAGGGATAGAACAAACGATCTAACACCTTAATAACGTGATGGCATGGACTCCTTCACTATTAAAGCTGCCTGGGCCATGCCGCATCGCCCTACCAAGCCTCTCAGCAAATCTCTCAGCCCGAGAGTAGACCTTCACATTATATCGACCCAGTCGCACAGCTTCCATAGACAGCATGCCCCAGAGCCACAGGCAAGGACACAGGAGCCACCTCGCTCCGTGCTCATAGTGAGGAGTCTCAAATAGCTCATTCCCATTCCATGCAATTTAAGTAGCCTCGAGGTACATGCGCGTCGCGATTGCTAATGAGGCAATTATAGGTCTACTGTAAGAAATTGTGTCACAATACCATTTCCTGTCTTTCATATCTTCCATTCCTGAATCAGACTTCATATTCCGTGACATGAGAGCAATGAAGGCATTAGGCATTTCTTGGGGAGCGGGGGAGTTGACCTTATAAATGATGAACAGTTCATCGGCCAGGGTTCTGGGAATGAGAAGTGCTGCAGCATGCTGTAGCTATTACTGCATGGCTGAGGGTGAATGTAGCGTATCGAACATGATATAAGAACTTGCTGTACGCAAGCGCTTGTAAAAATTCTTTACTACATTCAACCTGAAAGAGCATTACCAGTACGTGTACCCATCCAAAGCATACAGCTTGGTGTCTACTTCTGCCAAACCCCATCACTTCCACAAAAATACACAGACTGCCGCTTCGATTTCACGTCTTCGCCTTCTTCTTCGTTCCTGACTCATTCTCCTCTTCGTAGTCTTTCCTTTTGCCTGCATTTCTTGCGCTTTTCCTCGTTCCCTCAACCTTGGGCTTCTCCGCCTTCTTCTTAGCGGCGCCACCAAGGGCAGCCTTCTTCCTGCCACCAGTCTTCTTTCCCTCCGCCGGCTTGGCCTTCTTCGCCGTATTTGCTTTCGGCTTATCGTTCTCCCTGTCCTCAACCTCCTCCTCTTGGTCAGGGGACGGCGACTCCTCCTTCCCAGCCTCCTTCTCCTCGGTCTTCTTGCTGCTGGACTTCGGGGTCGGGGTACCCTTCTTGGGCTCGTTCTTGGACCCGGGTGAGTTTTCGTAGGAGCCGCCGCGCTTTTCGTATTCTTTGCTCAATTTGGCCGCCTATAGGACAGTTAGCGCAGAACTTCATCGCGCGCGCACGCGTAAACGTGGTGATGGATGCGCCCCGGCTCCTGCGCGTCGCGGCGCGATCAGAAGCTCGTCGCGAGAGTTATAGTAACTCGCGCATGGTTGACATACCTTCCAAGCACTCCACTGGCCCTTGCCGCCGCCGTCCTTGTTCGTCTCGTTCATGATCTCCTCCTTGACGCTCTCGCGCAGCTTAGGGTCGGTCGGCTTTCCTTTGCTGGACGGCATGATGATTCAATTTCGCGCGATTCGCGAGAAGTATAGTTGAGAAGTTTAAAACGAGGAGGCTGAAGTAGAAGAGTGAGACAGGGCTAGCTGCGCGCGTCGTTTCCTATGTACCTGGCACACGGGTTTTGTTTTGCGCTTGGGAAGCATGACATCACGATTGCTAGCGCTTCTCCAGAAATTGGATGTCAGGGCTGCATCTGGCGCAATGACACGTGCGTGGAAAGGAGGTGGGAGATAATGAGTGCAATTATTGAGATGGTAATTGTGTTTGGCGAGTTTCAGAGTGCGTTACTGTCTTTGACAGCAGAGGTGCCTCGAATCCGAAAATGGCTCCACCAACGCCGGCAACGCGTGCAGCGCGACCCTTGTCGATGTAGCTCTGCAATGTTGGAATGGCTCTTTTATTTATTCAGACTTAAAAGGGTACATCCGTTTCTACGAGTCTCAGGATGCTTCTTGCCTTGAGTAATCAGGAATACTGCATTGCTATGCAAGGCTGGAAATAGCACAGTCCTTTCAACCCTTGCAAACCCGGATTCCTCGAGAGATCGGGACGGCCACACTCTTATATAAATTGCATGCGCATTCTAAAAAAAGCAGGTCAAAGTATGGTGGTGTTGGGCTAGGTGTCCCGAAGTGGTTAGCGTTGCTTTCCAGCATTTGCCCTCACGATATCCCTACTCGACATCTGGACAGCATCACTCCTTTCGACCGACCAACGTATCTTTGTCACTACCAGTTTGCCCGTGTTGCTTTGTGTCCTTCGTCCATGCGCGAGATTGTGGCTTGAGCCTTCAGAAAATGTGGTTTCAGAACAGCAGACACAGACTCAACCCGGTAGCTATGCAGTTGCCAAACCGCAGATATAAGGCATCCAGGTCACGACAGCACGGTGAATTTCAAAAATCTAATCGGTTCCTTGTCCACGGAGATGCCTACTTATATACCGACTCGAGGTGTGCCCTCGCAGCCGAACGATATCCCGCTACAATGCCACGGCAATTTGGAGGATCAAATATCAACTCTCGAATCAAAGGATCGTGGTCATTTCGGGGCCTCCCATCATAAAAATCTCGATGACTTCCGCAATCAGGTTAAGCGTACTGAGCAGCGCATCGATCCGAGGCCCATGCAGATGCAATCACGCGTCACTCACGTCGGGTAGGCCGCCCTACTGCATACTGGAAATTCAAGAGGACTATGAGACTATCAAGCTTAGTCTACTGATTCCTTACATAAATCCCGGGGCTCACGAAAGTAAGGACCAATATGAGAGATCCTGCTGCTCTCGTGTCTGAATGACAATGCGTGCGTTGGCGCAGTGTCTTTGGGTCGATGCGAAATACAGAGTGATGGAGTCTAGACCTTGCTTCATTTGATATGCGTCTCTGAGCTCGCGTGGACCAAGGACTGGGTGCTGATCCGCAGTGAAAGCGGATTTGGCCAGCAGAGAATCGGAGTTGAATCCAAGCTGCCAAACAAACACCATACACATCTCACTAAGCATACCAACACAAGCACGCATACAAATAGCGCTCGCTAACTTTTTACGGAATCCTGTCGCAGAAGCACTACACTCGCTCTAAATCACCGGCAGGCGCGCATTATTCTATCACCTCCCTCTTGCCTCCGCTAGCACGCTGCTTCCTCAGTCTGTCACAACAAGAAGACGCCACCAGACTCCTACACCAGCTCAAGATGCTGCTGCCGGTTCACTCTAGTCCGCCCTCCCTTAGCCAACCCGAGCTCGGTTTCTGCGTCCTACACCATCGCGCTGAGCTATTCTCCTCAAACTTCGTTATTCATACCATCGTTATTGGCACTTATCCTTCGTTCACCGCAGCGCAAATTGCCGCTCTCGACGCCCTCTACTCCACCTTGATCGAGTACGAGCGAGCCGGTTTACAAGGCAACGTTTTCAAAGCCATCAATCTGGTACTGCGGGGCTTGATCACAAAGTTTGGAGAGCACGGATTGGAGCAGCCTCTCAGCGAGTTCGAGATCAAGTGTGTTGATGTCTGGGGCAACACATGGGGACCGCAGATGGGTTGTGAGGAAGAAGGAGCGCTGATGAAGACTGTAGATCGGGACGGCATGGCCCAGATCCGAGTGAAAGTGCCGTCGGCGAAGCCTATCCCGATGTCTCAAGACGGCGAGCAGAGACCCAACAAACTGGCCTTCCGGGAAGAAGCGGATCCGCATTGGTCGCAATCGCGTATTCCATACTTTCGCAGGCGGGATGATGCACCCTTCCGTCGCTCGGATAACCTGCCATATAGTGCGTCTTTCGGTTTCGTGGGTCGCTCACCTTCGCCAACCGAACAACCCATCCCCCAAATCGTGGTTACGCTACCTGGGTCTTCATACGAGGATCAGGAATCCAACGGAGAGGCGAGAGAGCCCCAGTTAACTATCGTTGAGCCAGCAGGTGAACCTCTCATCACCGCAAAGACGGCGCAACCAGATGTCACCGAAGAGAAGAAACAGCCAGACCTACAGCTCCCCGAGGTTCTTTCAGGTGAGTCCGATGGTAGTACCGAAAACAATAGAACGGACACGTTATCGCAGGAGGGTACCGATGGACCATCACAGACGAGCGAGAGAAGATACTAGGGTGAGTCGTTACGGTTGAGGTCTCTATGTACGGCTGAGCGGGGCGCTAATGGTGGGCAGTGTATCGTAATGGCTCAGTGAGATTCTGGCCCACCTGACCACCTCGTCGCCGCCAGAAACCTTTTCATCCGGGGCCGCGCAACAGTATGTGAGGTTCCTTTTTACAGGGAAAGGGACTCTTAAAGGTAGGACGTCTCTGCGCGAATAGGCTCCCTGGTGCCGGAGGTATGTACTCACTCACTTGCCAAAGGTATGTTGAGGCTAAGAGTCTGATTCTGATAAGTGTCCACAATTCAGTACATGTCAGCAACACACCGTCATTGCTACTGGTACCCGACCCCACAACGTAGTGCGCACACGCGCGCAGACAACCTGGGTCCAAAAGCGTCCATCTAGCAGTCTGCATCTTTGCGCTCATTGGAGACCACAATGTCAGCTCAGGTTCTTGGCCGTGGGAACCTCCTACTACTTTAGCTGTTTCAATGAAGCAAGAGCCATCCATTGCCCATATTACAGCACTCATGTGACTGCCCCCTTATTTTCAGAGAGAAGTCGGTATAAGTGCTGTCCGCACCAGACATTCAATGACTGTCTTTCTTCTTTGACAAACCATCCGATACACACATCTATCAAATGCATGTCCTTTCCAATCCCCTCATTGACTGCATACAGACACTTATCTAGCCAACTTCCGCGGCAAGCATCCACCATGTTCGCCAAAATCTTCGCCATCGTACTCGCCGTCTCCGGC